CGCACTCCCTGGACGTTTATTCCTTACGGACTGCCCAGTATAGAAGTAGAAGTACTCTTATTTACTGGCGAGTCCTTGAGCCCAAGAGTTTTGCAAACGGCAATGGCCAAGCCAATATCTTTGCTTGGACATAGTGGACACAGCCCAACTCCACACCTTCATAGAATGCAATTTCGAGAGCTAGCTTTTTACACTGAAGATTCAATGTCCTGGCCATGGTTAGAAATCTCAGCCTCTGCGTGACTAACCGTTGGACCACCGCGTCTTACTATTATTGCTGTTTACGTCTATTACTTTCTCCACGTAGTGCACTAAGGTTTCCAGCGGCCGACTCATCGCAAAGTGGCAGGCCAGCGCACAGCTTCTTTCCCACGACCTCTCCAGTGCGCGATATCTACACTGGAGACATGAGACAGCTCGCCGAGGAGGCTAAGACTGCAGATGTTGCGTTTGTCATGTACTATGCACCCTGGGATGCTGACTGCCTGCAGGCCAGGTCAGAGTTCATGAGAACTGCTCAGCTCCTTCACAATGAAGTATGTATTCATTAGTTTGATACCATTGATGTTAATGTGCCACTTACAACGTAGATGTGGTTATGAATTGTGCAATGTGCAAGCGTTGTCTGTATCATACCACATCTGAAAATTGGTATTCACGTCTTCCTTTTATAGATTAAAATGTGTTTCGATTATTGATGGAAGCCATGGTGCGATAGCGTGCACTATAGGTGTTCCGTGTCGCATATTTAATCGATACACATTTATAATAATGGAACATGTTAATAATGCATACTATATGTGATTGCTGCCAGGTTCACTTCCTTGCCGTCAACTGCTGGGAAACCAGTGGAATTTGCAGGAAAGCAAACACAATAACATCGTACCCAGTGTTGATGCTCTACCCGACCTGGGATAAAAACAGTGGAATAGAGTACCTGGTAAACACCCTTCTATGCTAGAGTGTTTCTTTTTATTGCAATGTGTAAATATCTGATAATGGTAATAAAATTCACATTTACGTGTTGTACTGTGATGCTGATAATATAGAAGTGTCTATAGTTCAAATGGTATATGCCATGAAGGTGCACTATATAAAATACTCCTGGTAGATATAGTATGTGTGTATAGTTTATCAGCTAAATTACAACTGTTTTAGCACAAGTATCTCCTTTTTAAATTTTGGTGGGGAATGAGAGATGTTACTAGAGATGTGCCATTAATAATTTTCCATACTTTCAGGGCCCAGTAATAGCCACATACATGGTTAAATTCCTTGAAGTTGTGGTTCGACCCATCATTCCCTTGCATACACTTAAAGATGTCAGTACATTTGTGGAACAATATGATGTAAGTATTCTTTTAAAGTTGTATTTTTTACTTTTTAATAAAACTAACGGATGGGAAAGATCTATGTGATTATACTATGCTATTCTATCTTAGTCTCAATGAGTCCAATGTCAGCCAACTATCTCTGTTTATTAGTCTAACGTGTACAATCATAACTGAACCTAAAACTGTTGTATGGCATTGCAGAAACTAGAAGTCCTTGTTTCTTCCAGTAACTGTGTTTAATATTGCTTTCAGTCTGTAGTGCTTGCTCGATTTGACTTCACTACCTCACCCATACCTCTTGGATATGGAAGCTACTACTTAGCTTCCATAAGGGCTGTGGCAAAGAGTAAGTTGGTAATACATACCTTGCTAGAATCTTACTCAGTAAGGATAAGCTAACCCAGAATATCCTGTTCTATTAGCCTGCAATAATCTCTTTCTAAATGGATGTCACCTCTAAGTAACTTGTTTGTATACACTGAACCTTAGTGAGCTTCATTTTTATATAAAATATAGAAGTATAGTGATGCTCTTATATTGCAGGTGTCTTCCAACCAGTCAGGTTTGGACTGGTGATGTCAGAGCTGTGGAATACAATTGGGATCGATCCATTCCACAACATCTGCCTTACACGTGCCCTTAATCAGACTCTTGTATGTTCTCCTAGGGATATTAAAAGTAGTTATGTTATGTTATGTTATGTTCTCGTACTTGTCGGTGTCCACTACACTGGATATAATGACAAGGTAGTAAGTGCCTTCAGGAATATCCCCAATAAACAAACATGGGCATAATGATGATGTGAGTGCAATGCAACTGGTGTCCTCTTAAAGTGGGTTCGCGTGCATGTGGGAGTGAAGTCTTGACTTAGAGATGTCAACGTCCGTTGCTTCCACAACACCCACGGGTAGGTTGTTCGAGATTGGAATCATCAGTTTCATGTGGTTATTTTCATAACATGAAACTTAAACAACAATAAACAATAACATAAACAAATGACATAACCTAAACATGAAGTTAGGTTCATTCTTAATAGTAATCGATTGTGGACTTTCAATAGTAACGTGACATTGCAACCAGTGACAAATCTGTTACTGTTTCGTTACAGATTTGGCCTAGGACACATACTTACACCTCAGAAAAACTAGCCAACTGGGTACTATATTATTCTATGCAGGTATGTATGTAGTTTATATAGGATCACTCTTTCAACTCAAATCTTCCATATCTAAAATTTAAAAAAAAGTATGTATAATATGTATCTGGATTGTGAGATTACAATTTGTGAGTTTACAGCAGCTTTCTAAGTTAGTGTCTGTGGATTGTTTTCTAGCATGTCCACTGGGTGGCGCCATCGGGTGTGAAAAGCCAACAACTGTCAGCTGTTATGGGTGACATGCCAACTCTATTACTCTTCACAGCCTTCAATCCGCTGTCAGACTTCAATAACGAATACAGCATGGTTGGTTTAATTAAGTCAACATGATTGCACATAACTCAAGTATATATCCTGCCATAAATTATTGCTAATAAATTACTGTGCATTCTAAACAACACATTTTTAATGGACGCAACATTGCTTAAGGATACTGTTAGTGTTGGGAGGTGATTTTCGGTCGAAATTTCAATACCCACTTTATTTGATAGATCGCACCCATGGGCAGCTATGTATACGTGAAAATTATGTATGTAGCCTCCCAAACAGTTCCAAATACCCGCATTAGTCAATTCTTAACACAGGCGTTCAATCATGGGAAATTTAGAAAAGTGATAATATCTCCGTTGTGAGAAATGCTAAAGTTGCCGATTTTTCAAACGCTTTCTCAAAACTCACAACTCCGATTACAAATTTTTTTGTTACGTTTCAATGCTAACATATCAAAGAAAAAAAGGGTCCCTGGAATTTAAACAAAATGTTATATTTTATAAGTTATGGCTCTTTATTTACGAAATTGTTGCGTTTTGAAAATCACAAATTTTCGTACTTATTTCCTAAATTAAAGCATTTAAAAAAAATTCCAGGGACACTTCTTTAGTTCATATTATGAACAACTTATGGTTAAAAGTTTAGGTCCCAACTCTTCATCTGATTATTGCTGCACTCTTGTTTTGCACCGCGCAGCTCCGAGAAGTCGTGCTGCAGTACGGGGCCTGCGCCACCAGGGGGCAGCAGCTGGACAAGCTCGTTGCAGCTATTGCGGCGCAGCGACGGCGCGTGCAGCGCGTGCAGCGCGAGGTACAGCGCGCATGCACCCGTCATCGGTCGACCCTCGCCTACGACCATGCAGCGGCGGTTGCCGCGGCAACGATGATGCAACATGCCTGCTGCCAGAGCGTGGTCGCGCAGCCGCAGCCAAACGTGACCGCGCTGACCTCGTGCGACCTCTGCGCGCTGCCGCTTCGGCGCGGCGGCGACGACCTTGACCTCTGCGGCGCGACCTCGGTGGCGCTCGCGTCGTCGCGGCGACGTGCGGCGATGTCCGCTCACCCGGCCGGCTGCTCGGAGCTGCGTCCGTCGTACGGCAGCACGCACGTCCTCGTCCTCTGCTGCTCGTCCTTGGGTCGTTGCCACGGCAACGCCGCATCCACGTATGACTTGTTCCTGCGGGAGGACTACAGGATTCTGAAGGCAGATAGCCTGAATAGGACTTGTTCGCGACAAACATTTGCGAAGAAAGAAGGGCTGAGACTGGCGTCGGCTGTGCATGTCCACGAGCCGCACGTGCAGATAGAAGGACTGCGGTGTCGTACTAACAAGACTCTAAGGTTTCTCGCGATGGACAGTGTCCGATACGGGATGTTTGCGTCGAAGCTTGGAGCGCAGCTAAGCTCAGAGAAGACAGCAGCAGTGATAGTAGATAAACAGGTATCGTTAAATACCAGACCCAACTATTACTGCTATTATTACATAATATAATACCAGGCAATGTTTGAAACCAATACTATTATATAATATTGCCAGATAACGTTTGCTAGCACCATTTTAAAATATTGCCAGATGATATTTGCAACCACTAGGCCCTACTATATAATATTTCCAGATAATGCTTGGGGCCACTATTATATAATGTTGCTAGGCAATGTTTGCTATCACTATTGTATAATATTGCCAGAGGATATTTGGTACCACTATTATCTAATATGGCCAGGAGATGTTTGGGAATGAGTGAGGTGGTGAGAGCTTTCTATTGTAAATGTAGTAAGCTCTTAGATAAACTAGGATTTTATGAAACTATGCTTATGTAAATTGCTGTTTAGCATTTTTTTTAATTTTTTGCATTTTATTAGGTAATCTACTTTCTTGCAGAATGAAGTACAATATATACTCAACTCAAACATGCCAACAACCACAGCAAACTTAGGTAATGTGAATTTTTGTTCAAGGTTACATTGGTGATAGACATGCAAGAAACTAGATACCTCACGTACTTGTGTGTGCTATATGGTATTTATCATTTTCCATAGTTGTGGCGTGCTCGCATATTTTAAGTTTAAGTAAGTTAAATGTGCTGATTTCTTTCACAGCTGCATTTATAGCAAATTTCACAGAGGGCCACCTTACCCGCCATCTGCGCTCTACAACAGTGCCATCTAGCAGCGACAGAAGTAATAAATTTCCTGAATATTTGAGGATTCAGGAGGTGACCAGTGATACATTCCATGATGTGGTTCTCAATGATGAGGTGGTACGTAAAGCCCAACACTCGAACTCGTTCATCGAACAAGTTATAACTGTATAATGTAACTCATATGCTAGTCTCACGCCACAGTGACCATTGTGTGTTTACAGTGTGTGGTGCATAGCAAGTAGTTTTCATCAATAGGATTGCATCTTGACATCATGCTGTATTAGAATGCAGTCTGGTGTGTAGGCTACATCAAAATGAGGTGGTTTTAGCTATCTGGAATGCGCGACTTGTCGTTACAGAAATGTCATTTCGTTGTCACATGTTTATAACATTAGGTTCTTCTCGTTATGTTTCCAACGTTAGCATTTCGTTGTCATGTTTTCAACATTGGCAAATTTATTTTATATATTAAATCAAGAAGGAAAATTATGCTGCCTGGTTATTATCATCAGATGTGTCAGCGCGGCGTTTTTAAAAAATGTGCCTGTGTTTCATGATCCCCCTAGTGGGTTTGTGTTAAAACTTTCAAAATGCAATGTTAGCTGTGTTCGTTTTGATCTCACATTACGGGTCTTTGTGTTCGTGGACAAAACGAATGTGGTCACTTTGGTTTGCTTGCCCTTCTTTTTTGCCCCTTCCTTTTGTGCGAATTCCTGATTTCAGAGTTATTTTTTTTCTGAAATCTCATTTCCCCACCTTTCATCAGTTTGAGCGACTTTGTCACGCCGCCTCGTCGCTGCAACAAGCGAACGTTTCTGAATCGGTGCCCGGTCATGGCTTTCTCGTCATTCAAGAAGGTTGTGGGGTTTCTTCATTAGGCTTGCTCTCGGTCATGCGGCGCCTCCAAGGGCAAAGCCGCAAAGCTGCGATCCGCCGAATGCAGGAGATTTAAATGTGTGAGCGCTCTCATCACTGAGGTGCGCGGGGGGAGGGGGGACGCAGCATCAACGAACGACCCCGCATGTGCGTACTTCTGCCTCTCTTCCATGTCGTAGCCATGGCGATGCGATTTTATTCGTAGTGTTGTTTTCATCGGTTAGCTACGGTGATCGCATGAGCGATGATTAATTCGTGGCATTGTATAATCAGTTAGCTATGGTGATCTTATGTTTGATGATTTAATCTTAGTATCGTTGCTATTGGTTAGCTGCAATGATCTCATGTCTGATCATTTAGTTTTCGTTTCATCACAATCAGTTAGCCATGATGGTCTTTTATATGATTATATAATCTTTGTATTGCTACTGTTAGTTAACTATGATAGTTAACTTCATCAGTTAGCTATGATGGTCTTTTATATGATTATATAATCTTTGTATTGCTCCAATTAGTTAACTATAATAGTTAACTACATCAGTTAGCTATGATGGTCTTTTATATGATTATATAATCTTTGTATTGCTCCAATTAGTTAACTATGATAGTTAACTACATCAGTTAGCTATGATGGTCTTTTATATGATTATATAATCTTAGCATTGCTACTGTTAGTTAACTATGATAGTTAACTTCATCAGTTAGCTATGATGGTCTTTTATATGATTATATAAGTTTAGTATTGCCACTGTTAGTTAGCTATGATTGTCTTTTATATGATTATATAAGTTTAGTATTGCCACTGTTAGTGATGATTCTACTAAAAGCGCATAAGGACTATAAGTACAAGTATGAGCTGTTAATATCACGTATTTTGATTTAGTAGTAGCATTGTTACAATTGATTAGATAACGTTAGTTAATTCTGCATCTTAATTATTTGCGTTTTAACGGTGAGAAAACTATTCGTGTCTTTGATTTCAGGATGTTCTTCTGCTTTACTATGCACCCTGGTGTGGTGCCTGCTCAGGATTTGCTCACGTCTATCTCTCACTTGCACATTACTTCCGCAGGGCGGAGAATCTAGTGCTAGCAAGGTACGTACGTGACTGTACGTTATTATGTACTAGATTGCTCTTCAGCTGGCAATTACATAGCTGACGAATGACTGCCGGTGAGAATTAATGCACAACAAACACAAGGTCAGGGCATTGCACCTCGATGCTGATGATTCATCTTTAATTAAATATATAATTACATATAATCAGATTAACTAAAACTTCTAGTAAGGTAACTTAAGTGTGGTTTTTCCTTTAATTCAACTTGCCGAGGCGTTTCTGCTCTTGCGGTGTGACGTCTGTCATGTCAATGCTGCCATGGGGGGCGAGGGAATATAAATATGACGTTATCCAATGCATTGTGATCTCGGAAGATGATCACAGACGACATTGATTGCAATTCTGGAGTCCGTTTATAGGATTTGCTATTCAAAATTTGCATACTCCTACGCACATCTTCCATGTTAGGTTGGGTGCGCTCGCTACGCGGATATGTTAAAAAGTTTGTTGGTTATTTGAAGATTCGTCAGTACAAAGCAATGCATTTCCTTCATCTCTATGGGTAAAATATTGTCAGTTTAATTATCTTAGTTAGCATACTCTCCTTGATTGGAGAGTAACCCAGCATGCAGTTCAGGCTGTGAGTTATTGTCTATGGTTATATAGGGATAGATTAGGAAACAGTGGGATAGGATATACAGATATGGAACAGTAGACTGTATATACGAAGACAATGTCTCAATTATCACAATTACTGCTGCTATATAATTTCTTCTACTAAGGAATGTTTTTTTGTCGGCTGTTTCTTAGGCAATATTACTCTATTGAAGAAACTGAATAAGGAAATCAATGAAAGCACTGCAATGAGTTTTGATTTATTTAGACAAATTAAGACGTTCATGTTTTATAATGCAGCTTAGAAAGTTAAAACTGTGTTTGTGTAGTATAACATTCTAATCAAATAATGTCAGTGTGCAAATTCTGCATTATTTCTGATGTTAATCATTTATTTTATAAATATAAATATGGGCTATAGTATTGGAACACTGCTAGCTCCAGTTACTATAGGCTTCAATGCAAGCATATCTGTACTATGCTATAGTATAGATCTTGCCTAATAGTCCAGGAAGGTATGTTTATGTCTTAACTAACCTTTGTGTTATCTGGTACAGATATGGTACGCCACAATGATATATAAATAAGAATAACCTTTGTCCAAAGTTACAACGGGCAATTCTACGAGAGCCTTGACAAGTATTTATAAATTCAGCAGGCATTATGGGCACAGCCATGGACTTTATCTGATGAAAATGTGGCTGACACATTTTCCATTGGCAGTGACGTTTATAGCTGTGATCTTTCAGTGAAATCCTTATTGGAGGATTTGTGATTCACACAAGTCTGATGCTTCGGACAATACGAAATTTTATTGGACGATTTCGATAGCACAAACTGTTACACCGCGGCCGTGACAAGCGGACAGAAAGCTTCGATTTTGAGCCGATAATTTCGTTGACGCAAAGCGCATTAAAACCGTTGTGCTTGACGGCTGTTGTATAATTTTTGGGATGCGAAAGAAAGGGAGAGAGAGAGAGAGAGAGAGAGAGAGAGAGAGAGAGAGAGAGAGAGAGAGAGAGACGAGAGAGAGCAGAGAGAGAAGAGAGAGAGAGCAGCAGGAGAGATGGATCGAGAGAGAACGAGAAGAGAGACGAGAGAGAGAGAGAGAGAGGAAGAGAGAGAGAGAGCAACGGACGAGAGACGAGCAGAAAGGGGGAGAAGAGAACAAGAGAAGACGAGGCGAGGAAAGAGAGAGAGAGAGAGAGAGACGAGCAGATGAGAGCAGACGAGAGAGAAGAAGAGAGAGAGCAAGAGAGGTAGGGAGACAAGAGGAGTGGAGAAAGATAAATGCTTACCTGAAGCCTGCTCGACGAACGCACCGGTGACCTTTGCAAGGTCCACGGAATTTCTCTAGCCGTGTTTCGGTCATTACTGCTCATTCTATCCAGTCAGAAAGGGCTGACACCCATCGCAACTTTGTGGCTTGTTAGGCCCTGATTTTCCATCAATCTTTGGTTGACAGAGAGTCAGTCATTAGGTTGGTATCACCCCTTGATTCTACAACAAACCAACAGCCATTGCCTGACGAATACGCAGTGTTAGGTGGGCATACTTTGTTAAGAGTGACTGGTATGCATTTGGTCTCTTTCACATCGGGCGCATCTTCGAGACGAAAATACATCATTTTAGTATATTTAAGCAAATACGAAATATTTCGTCAAATTGTACGTGCAATATCTTCATATATAGTATATATATATATATATATATATATTAAATATATATATATACAATATATATATATATAATATATATCTATTATATAGTAATATATAATATATGATATATATATATATGTAATTATATATTAAGATAGATAAGATAAGAATAAGATACAAGCTTTTATTTTCAATCGTCGCGAAATATAGTGGTATAAACATAAGTGAAGCATGAGCTCTCGCACAGCTCTTAGCCTCCGATATCTAACACTGAGTTTTATAAAAAAACTAACCGGTGTAAAAATACATGATTTGATATCATATGTGATATATACAAGAAAAATAAAATAAGTTTGATCAGATGGAGACAGTCTAGTATCTACACATGGAGCATTTACATTGTTCTCCTGTCCAAGTGGACAAGAGTTTCTTGAACTCGCCAAAGTTTACTGCTATTTTACAACAGCCAGGTAGCTGATTCCATAGACTGGCTCCATAATAACTAAAACTCTTCTTTCCATATCGTATGGTTCTAAAGGACGGGAGGCTAACATGGTCATTTCTTAGGTTATGTCCCGTATCTTTGGTAGGTGGAATTAAATTGTGCATATACGAAGGACAGTTTTTGTTTGCAATTTTGTACACTTCCTCAGCGATAAGCTTCTGCCTACTAAGTTGGAGGGAGGTCGCGCCATCTCTGAGGAGCAATTTCTCATACGAACTGTCATAGTCCTGGTACGCATGTCTCAACGCACGATAATTCAGTTTTTCCAGTTTTTTGCAGTTGTTTTCACAACTTCAACACTTCATGTGTGTGTGTGTGTGTGCGTGCGTGCGTGCGTGCGTGCGTGCGTGCTTACATATTATGAAACAAATTTTTTATTCCTAGCTTTATGGATTCCAGCAGACCAGCAATTAGGTGATTCGTGTCGTATGATGTACATAATTGATAGATAGCGCACTTAATGTAAATATTCCAGCTGAATTTATGGGCAATATAAGTCAACGAAGCAACGTATCTAATCTATGTGATTGTGAAATATGTTCTGTTTGAACCCATGAACGTTCATAAAAGACAGGAGAGAAAACTTTGTGAACAAACAATGTGGCTGCCGGTGCTGTTAATTAATAATATAATAAGCTTTCATCTATTGTGCGTGCATGTAATCCTGAAATGCGAACAAAGGAGGGTTTTAATCGGATAACATTCATATTTAATCTTTAATGAGAGATAATGAAAAAAAACGTGTCTACGTGTGTGTGTGTCTACGTGTGTTTGTGCGTAGTTGCGTACATGCGTGCATGCAATATTTCATTGACTATGCGAGGTTATTAATAAAGCTCGGCTAGATATATTCAGTAACAATTATGTGTTATTGTGGTCTTCAACTTTCATTCATTTCTACGATCCACGTATGTTTTGACGGCTATAGGTTTTTTTTTATGAGATTCACTGCAGTCATTAGTATGCATATCATAAGTAATGAGAGCGTTTATGCAAATGAAGGCCTTCTTATATCAATCTTCTGCTTTAGAAATCATAAAGTTGATTAATAATTTGGTAACCTTCTGCGTAATAATGTGTCTGTTGTAATAATGTGTGTTTTTACTGTCTAGGATAAACGCTGATATGAATGACCTTCCGTGGCAATACACCGTAGAGCAATACCCAACTCTCATATTCTTTCCTGCAAAAAGGTAAGAGGGTTTCCATTGCTTTTAGTGGTACCAACAATGAAACATTCAACAAGGGAATGACTAACCCTCTATTCAGCTTAGTTGCTACATAAGAGCCATGGATTTATAATGCTACACAAAACGTCATCACATTGTGTGCACATGTAATACACAGCTCTCTGTCGCAGTGTTGTTAGTTACGTCTGTAATTTCGTCATTTTATATCAAATTATCATATTTATATTCACCAGTGTATTGTACATAATGCTGTTTAAAAGTCACTCCCTCTTCAAAAGACTTCCAAATTTTGTCAACCTTCAAATCTATAAAGCCAATATAAAAAAGTATGAAAAGGATTTTCGATGAAACGTTCTCACAAAACCGTGAGAAATCTCAGCTTGAGTCTTTTCAGTTTTGCTCCATCAAACTAGCTTGTTCCACCGGCGGATTGCATGTGACGAAATTAACAACTCAGTTCTTCGAAATCTCAATTTACTCAACGGCCACATTGATCGAGCCGGTTTTGAAGTTAGTTTTATCAGTTAACTCGCAATCGCATCTAGTAAAAACCAGAGACGAATTCGACGGCAATGTTGTATGCAGTCGTGTACGACGATGTACTTGGCATTAATTTCTCAGTGGGGGATTGCGTATCCGTTGTCCACATATCCAGCGTTTAAGCTTGAATGTAGGGTGCCGTGTACATTCAGCGAGAGTCGTTGCCGATGCGGTGTGTTAAGCCAGGCGCACACGTGCGTAATTTTACTCAAGTAAAATGACGCATGAGTCATTTAACTCACGTGTGCGGCGGATTTTCGTTGAGTAATTTGACGCATGCGTCATTTTACTCAATATCAAACGTGTTTGATAATTTTTGACTCGTGCGTCATTTTACTCAGCGTGTGCGCGCGCGCTGAGTAAATTTACTAAACACTGGTACTGACAGCGCATGTTAATTTTTGACTCGTGCGTCATTTTACTCAGCGTGTGCGCGCGCGCTGAGTAAATTTACTAAACACTGGTACTGACAGCGCATGCGTTTAAATTATTGTGCGCCCAGTATTGGCTGCGCACAGTCACGTGATCTGCATCACCACTTATTCCTTGAGTAATTTTACTCACGTGTGCGGCGAACGCTGAAAATATTACGGGTGAGTATTTTGACTCATGCGTAATTTTACTTGAGTAAAATTACTCACGTGTGCGCCGGGCTTTAGTAAACAGTTGATGGAGGGCAGTGAGTGAGCCCCTATTCTATCCCGGCTGACGACCACGGCTATATAAATGCAGCAGATTCTAAAGACGTCCTCGCTCCAGTGCGACTATTCATGCTAACAGATGGCATCTTTCATCTTATACTAAACGAATTAACGTGCGCTTGTCTGTGGGCTGTGTGTGTCAGTCCCACCAGCGACGCGTGGCAGTCAGGCCGGGGGTGTAATATGAGAAAAGCAGTCGTGCAATTCTCTAGCTCGTCTAGCCACCGGGGATGCATAATGTCAGTCATTATATGTAATCTGCTTTTACTCCGCTGCCATCTATTATACGTGCTCTTTAGAGTATGGGATTTGCAGGATCTGACTTTACCTCGAAACCTAGTGTTGAATTGGTGGATAAAAAGAGGTAGAAACATTTGCATGATATTGAATCGGAACGCAGGATATGTATATAGTGGATGCCTGGGGCAGGAGAATAGGAATCGTATTTATCGGGAGACTTTGCTGACGATGGGTTGCGTATCAGGCTGCTTGTATCCCATCACCAAATCGGGGTTAATCCTCATAGAAATATAATGTTGTCAGTACCCTGTTGCAACATAGCGTGCATTTACATGCATCCAGTCCAGTGCAGAGGAAGGGAAGGAGTAGCCGCTGATGGTAGAGTCACTCACTGAAAGGACCTAAGCGCATACGACTTCCTCTTGGCGGCAGATAGCTGCAGCGGGGGCACGGAGAAAGGGAGGGATTGTCAGGGAGGTGAGGGGTTGTCGGGGAGTAGAGGAGGGGTTGTCGGGGAGGAGACGAGTTGTCTCGTGGAGGAGGAAGTATTGTCGGGGAGAGGAGCGGTTGTCGGGGAGGAGAGGAAGGGTTGTCGGGGAGGAGACGAGTTGTCTCGTGGATGGGGAAGTATTGTCGAGGAGAGGAGCGGTTGTCGGGGAGGAGACCAGTTGTCTCGTGGAGGGTTGAAGGGAATGGGAGGGGTTGAAGGGAATGGGGGGTTTGAAGGGAATGGGAGGGGTTGAAGGGAATGGGAGGGGTTGAAGGGAATGGGCTGGATTGAAGGGAATGGGCGGGATTGAAGGGAATGGGCGGGATTGAAGGGAATGGGAGGGGTTGAAGGGAATGGGCTGGATTAAAGGGAATGGGAGGGATTGAAGGGAATGGGAGGGATTGAAGGGAATGGGAGGGATTGAAGGGAATGGGAGGGATTGAAGGGAATGGGAGGGGTTGAAGGGAATGGGAGGGGTTGAAGGGAATGGGGGGGGGTTGTTGCGCGGAAAGGGGTTGTCGGGGAGAGGGGAGGAAGGCGGCGTGCGCGTTAAAGAAGCCGCACACGCGCCCTCTCATTCGATCGGCGCCTCGTCTATGTACCCAGATGTTCGTCGGCAGCAAGATTTCAAACGGGAGTGCTTTGCTCTCCGCCGGTGAATTGAAATGTGAATCTGTGAAAGGAATCGGCCGGCTATCTTACGCAAACAGATCGCATACACCACTGAGGGGAGGGGTGGGTGGTGTGGGTGTGGAGGTGGGGGCGGAGGGAGCGTCGCATTCTTGAGGATTTTTCGCGCAGGTAACTGATGAGTGCGTATAGATGGCGCGACGGGCGCTGCGGGTTTTCAGACAGAAATCATGATTTTTATTTTCTTCGCGCGATTTGCAACTTTCCATGTACAGCCAGGTTACGATATATATATATATATATATATTATTTTGATATCAATATATGAATATATTGGTATGTGTATTCTGCTGCAGCGTTTGTAGCTGACTTTGTGTCGAAACCCAACGAGTTTGATTGTGTGGCTAAAATATCTGTTTAGTTGGAATTCTCAAATGACGGCGGTTGAAAATGTTTTTGCAAGTGTGTGTGTGCCGTGTTTGCTTATTGATTGCACGCTAGCATTCATTAGTTCTGTGTTGTCAGAGTGATTATCGAGTTTATAAAGCGATTCATTTGCCGATGAATTATTGACTGGAATGCGTAATTCTTTTGTCGTTTCTGTCAAGCGCGTGTTTATTCATAAAAGGATTAGTTCCTTTCCCCGATACAGTCGCGGATGAACTTGCGCATTCATTTATTTATTCCCGTATCCCTTCGTTCGTGAAGTGATTAAATTCTTTTCCACTTGTCACTCGCTCATCCCGCAATGCTGCTCTACACATGAGTTTTATTTTGAAAAAACCCCGAATGATTCTATGTTGCTGCTCATTTTAGCAGTGTATTTATAATGGGGATAAACACCAACGCAGACTGTCCTTTTTTAAGATTATTGCTAGTTTTGCGAGCAATGTGTGTGTGTGTATGTGTGTATGTGCGTGCGTGCGTGCGTGCGTGCGTGC